GGAGAGGGGCTGGGATAGGGATGGGGATGGGGATGGGGATGGGGACAGGGATGGAGATGGGGACGGGGATGGGGACACGGAGGGGATAGGATGGGGACGGGGATGGGGATGGCGAGGGGTCAGGAGTGGGGACAGGATTGAGGACGGGGACAGGATTGAGGACAGGGACAGAGATGGGGATGGGACAGGGATGGGGGCTGGGATGGGTATGGGAACAGGGGCAGGGATGAGGCTGGGGAGAGGGATGGGGATGGGAACAAGGATGGGGACAGGGATGGGGATGGACCCAGGGACGGGCACAGGGCCAGGGCCAGCACCGCAGTGGCTCCCAGCTCGTGCCGGGGCTACGTACACATTTGAGCTCGATGTCCCGGAAGATCCTGGGCAGCAGGAAGCGCCGCAGGGGCACAGTGAGGATGAGGACGAAGGGCAGCGCCAGCGAGGCCTCGGTGGACTTCACCGCCCACAGCAGCACGAGGACGACGATTTGGGTGAAGGTGAAGAGGTGCATCCGCCAAGTCTTCACCTGCAGGATGAGGAGCCCAGTGGGGTCAGGGTGGTGGGTCCAGCACCCCGCACCCTTCCCAGGGTGCCGGGAGGGTCAGGACCAGTGGCCCAAAGAGCCCAGTGAAGGTCAGCACCAAAGGAGGAGGCTCTTTGGGGAGCCCCAAGCAATTGCAGGCTGCACCCGCAGCCCAGGACACCCCCAAGCCCACGGCCACCCGGCCGGGTGACATAGGGCTCACTCACCCGGGTGACGTAGGGCTCGCTGGGGTGGTACTTGGGCGGCATCAGCAAGAGTAGGATGCGGTCGAAGAGCTGGATGCCGAAGAGGGAGGTGACGCCCATGTAGAGGAAGATGCCGAAGAGCACGGCCAGCGGGATGTGCTTCAGGATGGGCTCCATGAGGATGGAGACGCCTGCGGTGGAGAAGGAGAGGTCAGGGAGAGCTGTCGGGGGCACCCAGCCCTCGCTGCCCGGGGTGGGGGGGCACCTCCCCAGCTCACCGATGAGCATGGCCACCAACAAGCCGCTGATGCGCTGTTCCTTGACCTCCAAGATCTGGGACTTCTCGCCGGGAGCGGAGGTCTTGCTCATGACGGTGAGGGCGTTGGCGTGGGTGATGGTGCGGACAGTGGTGGCGCTGAGCCAGGGCACGCCGAAGAGGGCGGCCAGCCCCCCCATGGTCACGATCAGCAGCAGGTCCAGGTGGAAGCCGGAGCCCTTCACCAACTTCCTCTCAGGCTTGCTGACGATGAGGCTGCCGGGGACAGAGGGGACGAGTTGGTGACACAGCACCCCAGGGATGTCCCCTCCGTCCCCATCCCACCTGGCACCCCGCAGCCCTCCCCTCCCCGTACCCCTCCCCAGTCCTCACGTGGTGATCTGCGTCTCGAGGAAGATGAGGATGAAGACCAGGAGGGCGGGCACCACGGAGGCGAACATCATCCAGATGGGGAAGGTGTTGTCCTTCCCCATGGGGTTGATAAACCAGCCCCGGGCGGACGCGTTGGTGACCTCCAGCCCTTTGGGGACAACCAGTTTCTGGATGGGAGCAGAGATGCGGGAGTGAGGGAACGGGGACAGGGCACAGGGACGAGCACCTGGCTCCACGTCCCCTTGTTGGGGACACCCGTCCCCCCCCCAGTCCTGCCCTCCTGCTGCTCCCGGACCTGCGTGAACGTGTCCTTGATGAAGAAGTCGACCAGCGCCATGATGAAGATGGAAATGGGCACCCCGAAGTCCCCGATCAAGCGCCGGGCCTGTGGGGACACCGCGACCGCGTTAAACCCGCCTGCGTCCCCACCCGGCTGAGATGCCCCCCCGCCCCCCTCCCCGACGTGTCCCCACCGGCAGT